TTGCTTAGACTTGCTAAATATTGATTACTACGTGATGTAGTAGGCCCTGAGGGGCGAAGTTGGGGAGCTCCTGGTGTAGGTGTGTTGGCCTTAAGGTGGAGCTTGCCCGGGGCTTGTGATGCAGGTGGAGCATTATGAGTTGTTATACTTGGAGACGAGTATGTGATGGGTCTTGGTTGAAGACTTATCGGGATGTATGGCTTATGCATGAGTCCTGCATCGGGTTTGGCTTGAGATGTTTTTTCACTATGTCTTGATGGGGTCGTTTGCTGACTACGAGTTCTCGTCAAGGTGGAGATTGTTGATAAGTATATTAGGTGACTCGTACTTCGTAGCTTTGTCCGCCCGATCGGGCGGACATTGCCCGGTCTGACCGGGCGGAAGAAGAAGAGGTGCCTGGCAAATTCGTTGAAGAAGCTGCTCTCGCGCCCGACCGGGCGAGCCTTCGCCCGACCGGGCGAGCCTTCGCCCGATCGGGCAGACCTTGCCCGGTCTGACCGGGCGGTGGGGGTTGGATACGTTGAAGCATTCGTATGGAGTTTTCTTCTCGCGCCCGATCGGGCAGACCTTGCCCGGTCTGACCGGGCGGAGAAGGAAAAATACGGAACGCGGATTTTGCGGTTTTAGGTTATCTTATTTTATTATCTTTTTGCCCAAGTATCTTTTAATTAGGGATTAATATAAAACCTCCCTAATATCAGTATTAGGGGGAAGAGAGAGAGAGTGAGAGCCGTTCTTGAGAAATACAAGAATCATCTTTGTAATCTTTGCAGTTTATAGTGAAATCATTCGATCTCGGTGCCCGTGGACGTAGCTATCACATCGATAGTGAACCACGTAAATTCTTGGTGTTGTTCTTATTGTTTGCATTGAATTTCTTTATTGTTTCTTGTTTGTTTTCGACCTTTGCTTCCGCTGTCGCACAACATTAATTATCATAATTAACGTAACTAGAGCATGACGCGCATCATGCTCCCGAGTGTAAAATTTAATCGGTTTTAAATTACTACCTTGAATTTGAAAGAGTAGAATCCTTCACTTCTGAACTGTCTTTTGCCAGAAACTTCGAACACTGTCTTCTTATCAACTAAAGACATTCTTAAAGAACATACTAAAGATTCCCACATATTTCTGTTAAGTGAATCTCCAACAAACACCATTCTTTTTCCTCTTAACATTTCTAACATCTTCTTCCCATTAAACCTATGAAATTCCAAGAATTATTATATAAAAAACAAAAATAATAAAAAAAATCAATTTTTTTTAAAAAAATCAAGAATTAAAATTTGAAATGTAGATTTTAGTTAAAGAGAAAATTAAAAGCAGAGTACCTAGGGATGTCACACCCATGAGGCTGCCATCGGTAGCGTAAATAACCGAGATCGGAGCGGCCATTGTTGAAGCAATTGAAGGTATAATCAAGAAACGGGCAAGACCCAGGTGAGTAAACCGGGCCAGAATCATCCAAAACCCATTTCCCATCAAAAATATCACAAGAAATTCCCTTCTTTCTTACAAAATCATCTTCTTTTTTCGTTAAAATGCTCAAAGAAGTGATTTTCTTAGCAAAGTATGATCCAATTTCATCTGGGTTCGGAGACCCGGAACTCGGCTCGTCTTCGATTGCGGCACTTCGAGGGATGGAGGAGAGAGAAGAGATGTAATTGGAAGCAAAGCGAAGGTGCGAAGTTGCAGATGGTACTGTTGAAGAGGTAGTCTCTGTTATGGGTGTTAAAGAGAAATTAAGTAAGATGAAGATAGAGAAAACGAGAAGAAAAGTTGTGAAGATTAATTGGATTCTTCTTCTTTGAAGAATTTGGGTGATTAGGAGTTTCTTTAATGGCGCCATTTTTGCAGAGAGATTGGAGAGAGAAAGAGGAAGATGATGTATTTGTTGTTACTCTGTTTTTGTGAGTTTGATTTTAATGATCAAATAAATTGGAGGGAAATTATATGAATAAATACAGAGTAATTCAGTACTTCGTACTCCGTATAACAATATCAATAGGTCACATTTTATAAAGTGTCACATATTAGTATTTCTCATTAAATTCAATTTATAATTTTATACATATCTTTTCCAATGTCCCAAGGCAATTCATTGACCTCTTTGCATTGTATAGTATAAAAATTATCGGAGAGTTTAAATTAAACTATCCAATATAAAAAGTAGTTAGTCGTACATGAAATACTTATTTTTCTTATGAATAACAAAAATTAAATTAAAGTGTGTTATCCCGCCAAGATTGTCCAATGTTCATATATACGATCAATATGGAATAATTGGTTTTTGACTTTGAGTCATTTATAAAAACTTCGTATTGTTGTTCAAAAATAAAAATAGGGTTTTTTTTTATATAGAAACCCTGTTTTTTTTTCACTTTTTTACGCTGTGTCCTAACATATATTACTTTCTACGCTGTAACCCCAATATATTTTTTGTTTCCATACGGTAAACTTGCTGTTATCCTGCTGTTAAAAAATTCCGTTAGTGGGGCCCATTCTCCATTATTAGTATTTTTTATCGATTTGCGCGTTGAAAAATACTCCGTCAAAGGTTTCAGGGGCTATTTTGGTCCTTAAGATACCAAATTGAGCTCAAATTTGGCAAAAAAATAACATAAATGCCTCGTTTTTGCTTATTAAGAAATGTCTCGATTTACGTGTTCACATTTTAACAACGTAAGGTTGATAAATGCCTCGTGAGGGTTTGTGAAAACATGAAGTCGAATAATCGGATGGAAACCTCTATTATAAGGTTGATTTCTTTATATCCTTCTAGCTACTGTGTGGGCAAAACTCATGATAAAGAAGTCTTATCTTGTGTGGTGTCATAACTTGTAAGTGGTGGGATTGATTAAAGGCGAGGAAGTACTTGAACCTTAACATTGTGATTTTGTAGACTTACTCTTGTCTTTTGATGTTGTAACTAGCACATCTGCACATGTTCTAACAAGGCTCTTTAAGTCGATCCTCGAGCAAATAGATAAAATCTCGTAAACAGGTTTTAAGGTATTAGAAGAACATTCTGACCAAATCGAGCTTCAAGGGTCAATCTATATACAACAAAACTTCAGCTAAAAAAGATAAAACCACACTCATTATTTTAGTGTAAACCGGGTTAAAAAAGATAAAACCCCGCTTATTATTTTAGTAGTGTAAACCGGACTTATACAAAAAGTTACGGACAGTTGGACTAAGGCTTTATTCTCCACTCTGTAAATGTCGACATAACGAGTAGTACTTGTGAAAAATCTTAATTGAACTCCGTTTTCTGGTCTTCTTTCTTCACCACTCCAACTTAACCTAACAATCATTTTCTCTCTCCAAATCACCAATTCTCAATTCATCGTATTCATATATGAATTGAATTGAAGTGCGATTAATCAATTACTTTCCTAATTTGATTTTTCAATCGTTGATCGCCGGAATTTCATCGGAATTCGATCACATCACCGATTAATCTCGCCGGAAATCATGAATCGTCGTCAATTATCGACGCCGGCAAAGCCGATTAATATGAACACGCTTACAAGAAAAATTGATGTCGATAATCGGCTTTCTTTGGGGTATTATTATCGAATTGCTGATACTCTTCTCAAACAGGTTAGGTTTCTTTAATTTTTTGTTTAAAATACATTGTTCAAATTCTAAATTTATTAGAGAATATTCAATTTTACCATTCGATTGAGCTAAATTTAGGTTTTTTTTAGCATATAGTTCGATTTTGCTGCTGTGTTGCCCTAGAATTGCAGGTTTATATTCATATCATTCTTAAATCTAAATGTTGTAACAATCGTAAGTTTGAATTAAACTTCGATAAGAGGGGAGTTCATTTACTTTGATTGCGTGCCAAGAGGGTATGTTGCGAATTTGCGTTGATAGAATTTAGGTACTATGATTAAGGTTTAGCATTGATGTAGGGAAAGGTACCAAATTTAGGCGGGGTTTTGGTGCTTAGATGAATGATTCTATAACTACATTTTGAATTTGGTTTCCTGTAGTTCTATGTTTTGGGGTGAGATGTTGGAATGGGAGAACTTATGCTTTGGTTGGGTGGCGAATTGCATTAATGTGTATGTGTGACTGCCTGTATCCACATTAAGTTTGTGGGTGGACTCACTGGACTATGAATGTCTACTGAACCATCACGACTACTCGGGTTATGAGAGAGGATGAATAGATGGGAATTTGTTACAAGTGCACTTACAAGCTAAGGGATATTGTTATCTTCTTTCAGATTCTTGGAACATTCATCTAGGATGGAATGGAATTTTGAATGTAGCTATAGGCTCGACTTGTCATACTGAATGTCTAATGTCACTATGCATGGGTCTCGCTAGAGCTATGTCTTTCTTATGTGGGGTAGAGAACAAGGTGAACCCCTCTTCCCCAATTATCCTCCCACACATTTACACACGGATGATATTTCATAGTTTGATGTGGAAGAGTTATATTGATCGCTTGTATTGATATGTCTGAGGTTAGAGTAGAATAGAGTTAATCTAACCACTAGCGTAGGGACTTTGTTTCAAAAATTGAAAACTAGTGTGGGGACATAGCATGCATAAAATATACGAAGTATTTCAGTCTCTAAAGATATTTACATTTGAGCAAACTCATGTTTAGCTGATTGCTAATAATTGCCACGTATTAAACTCAAAGCCCATTTGTGCACATATCTGCGCGTGATATTTCGTCACGTCTCCTTTTAAGTTGGTCTGTTTAAAATGACACATGTTCTACTAAAAATTGCACTGTGGACCTGTGGTGCATCTATGTTGAAGTATTGAGTGTATGATGTGGGTACTTAAGATACAATGAAGAGTTGTGGTAACATGGATTTGCGCATATGCTATAGTTATCCCTGTAGTGCAGTGGTGCTCGTGGAGTATGTTTTACGGCCTGACTGGAAGCTATCCCTTTTTTTTAGTGGACGCTATTTATAGCACTCCTTGTTTTCTTTTCTTGTACCAACTAATTCATGTCAATCAAAATTTTCTATCCTGGAAGAAAGAAAAAGGGTAGCTATGTTGCTAGGTTGCTTGTATAAAGACCAATGCTCTTGCAGACCTGCTTCTGCTACCAGCAGTATTGAACTTTATTTGTCTTCTTCAAGTAATGACATGATATTCTTGCTTTTTTCAGGCAGATGTGTATCGAGAAGAAAATAATATAGTGGACTTGTATGTTATGCTCGTTAGGTTTTCAAGGTAAGTATTATCATATATGCCTGTCAGTATCATGATGCTGTATTGAAAAATACATGTAAATCTATAGCTCATTCATTGTTTTCTTAGTTTGGTGTCTGAAACAATACCCTTCCATCGGGATTACCAGGCTTTACATTCTAGAGAAAGAGTACATTACAGAAAGGTAAGCTGTATCAGGATTTTTCCACTTTATCAGTCTCAACTGTTGTATGTGATTATCCTTGTTGACAAGTGTTATTTTCCTGCTGCTTTTTATTGTAGAAATTGCTGGCAGTTATTAATGAGCTGGAATCATTGAAGCCTGAGTTTCAGCGTCGAGTAAATGAACTTAACAAGGCTTATACAGAAACACAACTAAAACAATTTGATGGCAGAGAGAAGACCACATATGGTTTGGAAGCATCTTTGACACGGCCCTCTGCTTATGCTCCTAGTTTTGAGAGCAAACAGGTATCTGTTTAAATGATTTCTTATTCAGTATGAGATTAAACTAAATTGTTCACACCACTTTACTCCTGGTCTTTGAAAGTTCTACATATTTGAAACTATATCTTCTCTTTTTATTTTATGCTGAATTTCTTGACGCATGTTGAATCCTTTTACTTTTGCTAAGTGGTCAGCTTTTCACCAGACTTCCATTTGTTCTATTTACTGTCCCTGTGTCATTTTACTTGAATGTATTGGTTGCCTTTCATGTTCTCTTAAATTACTGGTTTACTTGGTTTCTATTAAGATCATTGACAAGGGGTGAAGTGAGAAAATAAAAGAAGTGAATGCTTTAATAGAAACGCAAATGCAACTTCCTAAAAGCTGGTATCTCTAGTTGTGAGGCCCTCAACAGCCATTTAAGCATGAAGATTGTCATGGTTTTGTATAACTGATCTCTTAACCTTAGTTCTTGTGTTTCTTCCGGTGTTTGTTTTACTTTATTAAAAGGGCAGCATATTTTTTTTTCAATATTATTTAATGTCCTTGCCTCTCAGGGTTGTTAGAAGCTTAGAACTTATGGTTTGCTTTTAACGCAGCTACAACCAGATAGCAAAACAATTCAGTCTTCATGGAAACAGAACAATGATTTCCTAGCTGCTTCAACTTCGATGCCTTTTGAAAAAAGCTTCTCTAAGCTGTAAGAATACACCTTTTTTTTTCTTTTTTTTTTTTTTTTTTTTAAGTCTGTCCTTTCTTTAGTTCAACTAATTGCACTCTTGTTCTTAATCTAACATATTCGCTTTAGTGTGTTGCACAACCAAGTCTACAGTTGAACAATAAGAATCCTCTGCATATAAATGGTATTCCCTCATCCCAAATAAACTTCCACATTTGTATCAGACTATCCCCGAAAAAAACGTCCACTTTCCTTTTCTATTTTGTCAAGTGTAAGGTCAAGCTCTTTATGTAAAAGTATTCAAACCTGCAGCACCTGTTGAGATTGTTAAGGAAACATTTATTAAGTCAAATATGATACTCTATTTAAAGGTATTCAAGTAGCAAACATTCTTGTTGCATCATCAAAGAGGAAGTATAGTTTTGAACGAAGATAGCAGTATGTTATAGGCATTATCTTAATATGTGATTTTACAAGTTTTATTTACTTATATCACATTTCGTGGGAACATCCTTGGGTTTCACAATTACC